TATGGGTTTTTAAGCAAAATTTAAAAAATTTCAGTTTATGGGTCCGGTTGTTTTCGAAAACAGTGACTCGAAAAAAGCGCTTGGTATTTTTTTTATTATTCACAAGGTTTCTCAAGTAAAATTTTTGTTGCTATTTTTTTCTTGTATAAAAATATTGTTTGCGCTCTAACCAAACCCATAAATATCAAAGATTCAAGCTATATAAAATATTTAGAAAAATTCAAAAAAAAATCGACTGAATTTCAAACTTTTTACTCTGAATTTATTTGTCATTTATAAAAACTTGCTTTGATTTTATTATTTCATTTTTTTTTCGAACAATCGTAGTGTGTAATTACATACCTGTCCATTTTGGCTTTTTATTTAAAAAATCATTTAAACTATTTAGGCAATCAAAAGCTCCTCAGGGTTCCAGTAAAATGGCCTTAGAATATAGCACGATATTTTCGCCTGTTATATAAAAAGTGTGAATTAAAGCATTCGGAAATAAATGCAGTAAAGTAGCTACACTTTTGGAAAGAAATTTTTAATATAAAGATAACGATGAAAATAAAGCGGGAACTAAAATTTTTTTATTATAAAAAAAAATACTTTAACAAAAGTCTACCAAAATGAGAAAATACAACCTTTTTACCAACCCAATTTTTTTTAAAATTTTGGTAATTTCGTACTTTGTATAATTCTAGATTCATACGATTTTTTTAACCCCTATCCTTGTTGAAACTTCAAAGTCGTTTGAAAACAAGTTCACACGTTCTGTGACAAACCTAAGAACGCAAATTTATTTTATCTAAGCTCTAGTATCGCGCGCATATCGATTTCCAGATGTGTGAAAAAAAAATTCAATTTTGTAGCACGGTGTTATACTTAAAGGAGATCAAATTACACGCCAGCTATCATTAAAGAACTTTCTGACCTTTCGAGTCTTGCACAAATCACAATCACTCAAGCTTAATTAAAAAACAATTTATTTAGCTGAAAAGTGCTCGAGATATGCATGCACTCACAGACATATATATATATATACATAAAGGCGCCTAACTGCAACGTGCATACCACGACGATCACTGCCACGGTTGCAATGTGTCAACACGCTTTAGATAAACCAATATGGAACTGGAATGACGACGGGGCCACTTAAGGATCGCTACACATTTCAAAACATTCAAAATTGCAAGCGATTGAATGCTAAGCTACAAATATATCTGGGTGGATGGTTAAATGCAAATGTATGTAAATAAATACTTAAGCCAAGTTCCAAGCGGCGGCGCATGCGATCAATCGCCAATCAACTGGAATAAATCAATTTTACCATTTAACAAAGTGACAAGTGGCCGCTGGGCAATGGAGTAAATAAATAATAACACAGTGGTTGGAGGAGATTAGCCGGCGAGTGTATCTAAATATCTATGCCTTTGTATGAAAATATGAATATGCAGGTTAATATGTACACTGCCGGAACAAAGTATTCGCGCAGAAAATTTTTCACAATATTTGCAATAATTTTTATTCTAATATTTTTCCGCCAATTTTATATAAAAATATGGTTCATTCTACAACAAAAAAAACATAAAAATATAATTCCTAAACTTTGCGCAAAACTAGCGAAAATTCAGCAAATTTCCATTCAAATTTTCTACTTTTTAATCAGATTTTTCAGAATTTTTTTGAGAATGTATTTTTGCAGCCCATTAAATTCTAGTAAAAAAATGCTAGTTCGGAGTTCGTCGAAAATCGCATTGATTTTTGAAAATTTTTTTTGTTGAAGGTGTTTTGCATTTTTTACATATAAAGTATTTTTGAAAAAAAATTTTTATAAGGAAGAGACTGCGTGAAGAAACGGTAATTTCAAGCTACTTAAAACTTGTACTTTGCTACAATAAAATTGATTGGGAAACAAATCTGCATACTCAAAAAAATTCTAAAAAATCTGATTAAAAATTTGAAAATTTGCATGAAAATTTGCTGCATTTTCGTGAGGTTTTCACAAAGTTTAGGAATTATGTTTTTATGTTTTTTTGTCGTAGAATGAACCATATTAAAAAAAAAAAAATGGCGGAAAAATATTATAAAAAATTGTTGTTGTGAAAAATTTGCTGTGCCAATACTTTTTTCCGGCAGTGTATGTATGTGAATATGTGTGTAGGCTTGGGTATACATATGTAAATCGCACACCTTGTAACTCATGTAAATTACTGTTAAAATAAAAGGTGGCGTAAGTCGACTAAATAGTCACACTGCCAAGTGATTTATCGGCATTGGCGCCAGTCCCTGACAATAATACGATTAACGCGCATTCAGCTTAATAATTTGATGAATAAATTATGAGAAAAAGCGAAAATTTATGGCATTAATTTTTATATGTATTTTATTGCAAAAATTTAAAATTTAATAAACATAAAAACATTTCAAATAAAAACGATTTTTCTTTAGCATCAACTCAATCAGTGTTCCTCCAGCTTTAATACCTCGAACTTAATGCCGTCCTTCAGCTGGCTCAGCTCCTCGATGAGTGAAGTGTTAGCAAATGCATAACCGGGCGAGATGACGCCACCACTGGTATATAAAAATAAGAAAGAAATTAAAAATAAATAATATACTAATAAAATAATAGCGGCATTCACTTACTTGTCTGGCATTTTATCGCTCTCCTTTAGTATAATTTTTGCCGCCGCCAAGATCGCTACGCTGGTCATGCCATAGAATGGATCGGTGGCCGATATACGCGTCATTAGTTCTTGCTGGGGCTCCTCCGACAATGGCTGTCCCACGACCCAGCCCTTTGTTCGAAAGGTCATTTGAAGCTTCTGCGCTTTACGATTTGCCGCCACTGGTCCTTCGTGCGACATTAGGCCACGCGTGAAGAATTTCGGATTCTTAATTAGCAGTCCGCGTAAGCCGGGAATTTGTGCCATTATAATGGTGAACATGAGAATCATTTGTGTCGAAATGGTGGTCCATAGGGAGCTGGAGGAATTAAATTGAAAATGGGATGCAAAAATTTATGTTTACTCATTGATCGAACTCACTTGAAGCCAATATAATTTTCAAACTGTATCGGACGCTTCTGGTCGTTTATATAGCGCAAACGTTGAGTATTCATTACAACATCACGATCACCGGAGTGTATGGCGAAGAAATAGCGATCGAGAAATTGAACTTTTTTTGCGAAGCGCCTGTAAAGTGGGAGCGAGTAAGTAGATGTACGGTGGCGAGAGTGTAAATAAGGAATATATATTTTAGGTAGTTTTAGCTATTTTGCGTTGTCTAACAGTTTTTATAATTTTTTTTTTATGAAAATATAGCTTACTAATTAAAAAACCATGTAAATCAAAATTTTAAACTGAACATTTATAACAACT